GGGGCAGGGGGACAGCCCTGCTGCAGCCCCCATTCCCAGCTGAAGCTCTGCCATGGTGCCACCCCTCCTGGGATGAGCCTCCAGCCCTGGGGACACATCGGGGACCTTCAGCAGAGCTGCAGATGGGGCTTTTGGATGCAGCTGAGTGTGGGGTGTCCCCCCCAGTGATGGGGGTGGCCGTGGGTTTTGGGGTGATGCAGTAGGGCTGCCTTTGGGGGTGTCCCTGCCCAGCCGACTGTTCCCACTTTCCCTTCCCTTCACCTTCTGTGATTCCCCCCTGGCTCCCAGAAAAATAAAGGCTTGCTGTGCAACGGGGGTGTCTCCAGGGGATCCTTGCAGCTCCCTGGGCTGGGGGAAGCTTGTGGGGGGCTGCAGCCCCCTCCCCACATCCCCACTCCTCCCACATCCACAGCATCCTGTAGAGTGATGCCCGTTCCCCAGATCCTGCTCAAAAGTTCCGGGGGAGGTGTCTCCTGCCGGGGTCTGGAAGGGGGGACACGGTCCCATGGGGGGCCGTGGGGGGTCACAGCCCCCCCAGAACTCAGGGGAGAAGGGAGGGGGCTGGCACCAGCCACCCCAGCCCCAGTTCCCAAGAGCAGGGTCCTGCCAGCACAAGACGGGGTGGGGGGCTGCCCCATGGAGCAGCACGTGGGGCTCAGCAGAGCCGTGCTGGGGGACAGCAGGCAGGATGCAAGGGACCCGCACCACGGGGCGCTCACCCCTCACCAGTTGCTCCCCGCTCTCAGACCAGGCCCCCGCTCTCCGACGGGGTCGGGGTCGGTAGCAGCCACCGCAGGTCCCTGGTGGCCACGCCGAGGGGGCTGAGGACCACGCAGGTGAAGTTGGTGTGAAGGTGCTGGGGGTCAAAGGAGTCCAAGTGCAGGTCTCGGCGCAGGGTCACCCCCGAGCCCCGCGGTTCCTCTCTGCGCACCCAGAGGGGACACATCAGCCCCAGCTCCACCACAGGGACCCCCTGTGAGACCCAGATCCCCACGTCCCCCCCTCGGGACCCCCTGGCCCCGTACTCACATCACCATCCCCTCGTGCACGGCCCCGTCCGGGTACAGCTTCTCCAGGAAGGAGCCGTTCCCCAGCCAGTAGAGCAGCGTGAGCTCGGGGAGGACGCTCACTGCCTCACACGAGACCCTCACCCTTTTGCCTGTGGGGGACACGGGGCTCTGAGGGTTCTCGCTGACCCCCCCAACCTCGGGCCAGGTTGCCACAGGCACAGCCACCCCCCGGCCCCAAAGGAGAACGTGCCCCACCTCACCAGCACCCCAAAAAATCTCAGTTGTGTCCTCAGGTGGAGGATACACCTTGTGTGTCTGATGGAGCTGGTGCAAGACCTGACCCTCCCTGTGTCTTCACTCAACTGGGGGTCTCACTGTAACCCCTCCCCATGCCCAGCCCACCCCTGCCATGGCCCTGGGGGGTCACTCACCTGGATGGGGGAGCTCCGTTGGCATCCACAGGTCGGTGATGCTGGGGGGCTGCAGGGCTGTGGCAGCCGGAGAGAAGAATGGGGTGAGGAGTGGGGGGACAAGAACTGCCCCCTGAGACCCCACAGCTCTGGAGTGGACAGGAGGGCAGGGTCCCACAGAGGGGATGGGGCCACAGCTTGTCCCCACCACTCCCCACAGGACCCTTGTGGGGGTACACAGAGTTCATATCTAGTCCTTCTTCCCCCGAGTAGCCCCCACTTACCCATCCAGGGGGAGGCCAATACCCAACAGAACAAGGGCAGGAGGAGCTGGGTGGGTGACAATGGGTCCCTGTGGGGAGAAATGGGGCTCAGAACCGGACACGCCGGGATGGATGCACCCCCCGAGCCTGGGACAGTTCCTCCCAGCATCTCCCCTCCCAGCATCCCCCACCAGCACGCCCTCACCCCACCGTTCCCCCAACTTCTGCCCACCACCAGCATCCCACGAGCCAAGGACGGTTCCACCCAGCATCCATCGAGGCGGGGACTGTGTCCCCCAAGAATCCCCCTAGCCCTGCAGCCCTGAGCCCTGCAACGTCCCCCGTGAGGCATCATCTGGGGCAGATAACCTCGTTGCTGGAGGTCGATGTTCACAAAGGAGACAGAGGA